ACAAAGTTAATAACATCCTTTGCCACTCACCCATTCTGTCTTTGTGACAACACCAATTCAGCAATATGTACATTTTGGATGGCACTTAATAAACTACTCTTGGTTGCAAGAACAGTCACAAAGGATAGGCATTTATAACAAACTTTTCCTTAGTCCTGTGCCACGCACTCTCTGCAGATCTAGGATGCTCTTTTCTTTCTGTGTGACCTCATGTCTAATATATTTTGGGGCATCAATGCCCTGTGGTTTAATTAGTATGGCTGCTTCTCTTTCTCCCTGGGGCTGGGCTGAGTGACCTGACATAGCAGTGTATCAGATCTGGGAAATTAATTCCCAGCCATTTCCTCCCCCTCATCAGTCATCGGCTGCCTGCTGCCCTCAGACCTGATAATTATACAGGCAGTTCAGATAAGTCTTACTACTGAAGGACCAGGGAGCCTTTGTTCTTATGTCTGCCTGCTAAAGCTGGATCCACTTCTCCTAAGCACAGCTGTTGTGAAGTTAGACATTCAACACAAGCCAGTCATGGCATTCGGACTCTGCGGCCAATGGTGAGAGAGGGAGAGAATCTGATCTCCCCAGCATGACCCATCCCATCCTAAACAAGACCATCTAAAATATGCAGGTATTAAGGCAATAATTCCAGAAGTTAATTTATCTTTGGCATTAGTAGCATAGAGCTGTATTTTTTTTAATTTTTTTTTTTTTTTTTTTTTTGCCAGCTAAAGCTAGTTCCTATAAACCTGTCCAAAAGGTGATACATTCTTTCCTGGGCAAATTCTTTCTTGCACTGCTGCTTGCTCCTGGTAAAAGCTCACTGTAAATACTTACCAAGGAAGGGACAGGTCAAGTAGTCACAGCTGGAAGATGATTGTATCTACAGCTCTAGTGTCTGGTCTTTGCTGCTTGGGTGTCAGGGAGGTGAGAATTGCATAGAGGTATGAGCTAAGGAAGCACGTACAAAATGCTCTAGACACCCCCCCCAGCATTATCTAACTTTGTGAGGAAGCTGTGAAACCTATTGCTTTGTTAACTTTTATGCTCTATTAAACTTCTATATAAAAATTGTTATGTTTTAATTAGTCATACAGTTGTGAACAGCTACTGGAGGGAAATGACGAGAATGATGATGTGCTGGTCAGGATGTACTGGACCCACACTCACCCTCATCATGGCAAGAGCATCTTTCTACTTAAGCATTGAAGACCTGCAGCAAAGGCATGGAAGAAGAAAAGCCCCACAATTAGGGCACCATGGTGTTTTACCACATTTTATATAGGCACAAACACTTCTCAGAATAACAGAATGAATCAGCCATCTGAGCCAATGCTTAGCAGTCATAAGTAAAGTGGGCCTGTTAATATTAAAAGGATCTACATTTTTGTTTTGTTTGAAATGGAGGTACACAAGAAACAATTGTTGAGAGGAAACAGCAAGCAACTTGCGAAACTGTTTCAAAGAAGAATAGGACCCTTAGAAAAGTAGCATACCGAGGCTTTTTTGGCCCGTACAGCTCTATCAGCATGCCTTTTAAAGTATTCCCTGAGTGTAATTGTGTTTATTTTTAAAGAGTGCCAAAGGCATATGAGGTCTCATATGTTCAGCTGTGGGGGGAGGTGGGTTTGCTGCCCTGCTGCCCACCCCACCACAGGGCTGGAGTGTGTTCAGGGCATGGGGAAGCCTCACCTGCTCTTGCAGCCCAGCTGCCACCCAGGTACCTGCCTGCCCTGGCACCCTTGTGACAGCAATGTCAGAGTTAGCAGAGAGGAAGAGGGACCTGCTGGGACGTAAGTGGTTTAACACACCAGAAATTTGTGTCTGTTCCCCCAGCACTCCATGTACAGATGCAGTGCATCAAATGGAGTTCCCATCTTCACAGTTCCTACCAGTGCTCTGCCCAAAATACACTTGCTTACTTTCTTGCTGGTTTTGTCTCATGACAATATTGCAGTGCTTTTCTTTCACCTCATGCCTGGAATCAAATACACACATTTTGCTGTGCAAACTGCCAGCCAGCCTCTCACTCTTCAGTAAATTTCCAAGGCATAGGTATCTGAGTAAAGTGCTCATGTTCTGCATAGTCACCACTGCCTGCGCTGCTGCTGCTGCTGAGGGGTCAGGTAGAGATAAAATTCTCCACTCCCCCCATCTCCACTCACCCCTCACACAGCTGTGGAGTTGTTGGACCACTGCCTGCTCCCTGCTGTGGAGACTGCACGAGCCCCTGCAGCCACCACTGTCAGCTGGGCACTCTGTCCTCATTTGTACCCTGCTCATGAAAAGAAAAGGCAGCTAATATTAGGTGGTATCTAGGGATAGGATGGAGCCTGCAGGCGGATATGCTGGAAGTCTAACTGGATGGTGTGGCCACTCCACACCAGCTGGCGGGAGCATTTCATAGTCTCAGCACATTTAGTGTGCTGGTTATATCGGAGTTGGAGCACATCCTCACATCCAGGGTTGGCAGCTTTGAGCCAGCTCCATCCCAGGAGCCGTGTGCTCTTTCAGCAGGCGAGAGCAGGAGGGCACCCGGGGCACAGATCCCGATGCCTGGCTGGGGGACAGGCAGGCCCAGCCTCCCACTGCTCTCCGAGCCTGGCAGTGAACATGGTATCATTTTACAGCATTCCATCTGCAGCCCTACTGCAGGAAGAAAAGCCTGTTTGTTCTTCAGCTGCGTGAGCTGCTTGCCACCAGCTCTGCTGAAAGATGCTGAAGAATGCTGCTGACCACCTCAGAGAAAAGCCAACAGTGCTGCACACAACTTCTGTAAAGAAAATGTTTTATTTAAAGTGTTAAATACCATCACCAGAATGAGTTTGATTTACATTAGTTGGTATTCATTACAGGCCTAATCTGCCCTTTTTTTCCCCCAACTGTAATTCCTTTTAACTTTTTAAAACGTACTATGTACAAGACAGCAGTGATCACTGGAATAGTGCTATTTACATGACTAAACCATAAGTAGAGTTGCAGACGTGTGAAAATTAAAAAAAATACATTAATTTTTTTTTAAAATAAATACTGCATAATGACAAGTATGTACAAACCTTCCATGCGTCATGTCCTTGATTTTAAAATTTGAAATAATTTATATAGGACTATGCATACAAGAACGTGTGAGCACATCTCACAGTGTCAGAAAAATGGTTATCTATTTTCATTTAATATCCTAGGGGATATTGTAGACTGCATGTTAGTAGTATTTATTTGCTGCTGGTAGACAGGTGTCTAAATTATTTCAATAAATATAATTTTACCAGTCTGTCTATTAACTTAACAATAATCCATTATATAAACTCTGCAGACAAGACACAATCTTGACTTCTATGATATTGCACAAAGTAAAAGGCATTATAAGTGATACTGTTATTACTTTTGCCCTCTTACAAGGCATGTGTAATTTCTGAATGGGAAACTTCAATAGATTTTCACATAAAATCAGAAGAATTCTGTGTGGCCTTAAAGGTAAATGTAATGTATATTTCAAAAATTATTGCAAGGTTTCAATATTAAACCTTCAGTAGGTATTAAAGGCATACAAAGACCCAGAAAAAAAAAGATATTTTGTTATTAAATGTTAGCCATTTACATTCCCTTTAAATAATGCAATTTAATGAGAAGCTTGAACTTGCAGCACCACCCAACGGTAGTTACTGTCTGCTACAAAAAACAGGTTTTTGAAGATCCATTGACTGCACTGAGGTTCTGGTAATGGTGTCAAATAGCTGTCGGTGTGGTACTGATAAGCTTTCTTTAAGGCTATTTTACAAACCAAAGACTGATATTTTCCAGACTGATATTACCTAATTATGTCTTTTGCAATGCAAATGTAATTTATGAAAATTGAACTTTACAGCAGAAGAACTGTATGGATTAATAACCTTTGTTGCTTTTGCAATCTCAAAAATGTAGCAATCAATTTAGCTTAGTGCAAATAAAAGTGCTTAAATTTATTTCCTAAAAATCAACCAGGTACATAATTTTTCCGCTTTCCAAAAACCTTCAAGAAATGATAGTTCAATCTTTGAATGAAAGATGCTGGTGCTGAAAAGAAATTTATTGAAGACATCTTACAATGGCCACATGATTCCAGTATTTTGCTGTAGAATTCAATTTGAAGGTGAGAAAAAATAAGTTACCATGCACTGTACAATAAACTGCAAAAAGTTCAAATATTTTCTTTATCAAATACATGCTGAATTATATTAATGTACTCCCAAGCCATGTTGCAAAATCCTTTTCAACATGCTTGAAAAAAAACGTAAATTCTTAAACAATATTTTTCTCAAATAATTCAGAAATGCAGAACAATCTGCAACCCTGAACGAAATATGGGGCATAAGAGCGTAGTAAGTCAAAAGGTAGCCATTTTAGAATATGCTGATCATCCTGGGAGGTAGAGGGGAAAAAAGAGCAAAAGGAAGAAGGGAGACTGGGAGGAGAGATAGAGAAAGGAGGAGGTAAAAGAAGTGTACAATTTGCACATTATGTTGAACTTTACAAGGCTTGTACCTTTTACATTTAAATAAATTTAATATATTACACTTATTTCTTGTCACATAAACAGAATTTTAAATATTTGCTAGAAATTATTTTTTAACATAAGTCTGCAAAAATACAGACCATGACTGGTTTAAAGAATGATAAACGTGGTGTGTCTTTGTATCACCCTGTTGCATTCTCTTCCCTTTAAAACCATGCACTAGTGAAATTTATTTTTAAAAATAATATAAACTGTTGAAAATGGCTGATTTATTCTTTCTTTTTTTTTTTTTTGCAAGTTGCAGCCCCAAGAAAATAATTTAAGTGTTCAGCTAAATCTGTGTCCATGCAAAAAAGTTTCTTAATTTCATACAGTACAGTATATCCACAGAACTTTATTTTTCAGAGAGTCCATCATGTCTGGGCTTTCACTGTATGTATAGCTGGAGGTATGAAGCCTGCCACTTTAAGTCTTGAACCTTCTCAATATGAAGAGTTTTCAGATCTCAAGCAACTGCTGCAAGTGCCAGTTGACTTTTCCAGCATCCTTACATCCTTCTTCCAATGCTGCTAATCCACTGACTTGTAACGTGGCTTCATGGGAGGGTAACTCCATTTCTGTGGCATAACCAAGCTTTAGGAGGGGAGGGCAGATAAATAAAAGAAATGGGAGCAACAAAAGAGATATGCCATTGAAAAGGACTTTTGTTGCATGAAACAGATTGATTCTTTTAGTTTAGTCCATGGCTTCAGATTGGACCAAAACTGAGTCCCTGAACTCCAAACCTATCAGTTCTTCATAATTTCAGTCCATCACCTGAGGGCCTTCCATAGGGCACAATGTGTGCAACTTCCTTGAGAACACAGGATCGCATTGCAGCCCTAGAAACAGGCTCAGAAGACACAACATTAAGCATGCAGTGTTACCAGGGTTTGCGACCTGTAAGTTGATTTTTGTAACGCTGGTTGCTATGACAACAGTTTCACAGCTGCTATGAGCGAGCATACGAAGGTCCTGTTGAACTTTCAAGAGATGATTGGGAAGCTCTTCTAGTGAGAGGAGCTAAAGTTGGGTCTACTAGGGAAGAAGGAGGGAAAAGTTTGAACCACCCAATCACCATGTTGGACAGGTCCAGTTCATCTAAAAGTATCTGTGCCACTCCCATAAAGGACTTGTGATCCATACGTCCATAGTCTCCCCAAACAATTATCTGTTAGGAAAAGAAACACAAGAAAATAGAAAAATTATGAAAGCTTCAATCTGATTTGTCAAATGTCTCTGCTTATTGAACTACAGTAAGGAATGAAATATCTAACTGCTGATGTAATTTAGTTCTGTGTATACTAATCATGATCCAGTCACAGAAATTATCTGGGTAGTAAAGGAGCCCATACATGTAGCAGAAGCAAAATAAGTTACAACTAACTTTTACTCAGCATTTCTACTTGCATAAACAGATGTTGCTGTTGTGTTTATCTGCTCAAGTATCTAAAATAGCATTGCCAAATGAAGTATGAAAGGAAGTTTGAAACTCATTCAGTGAAAACTGTACAGGTGATGCTTTCAGATTCAGAAGAATAATGCTGCAAATTACCTGTAAAACTTTTCCTTGGGGACTTTCTTCAAACGATAGAAGTTGCTGATAAAGTGGTTCCAGCGTTTTTCTTGCTACCTTTGTTTTCTTTTTGGCTATGCAGACTCCATTTTCTAATAGATACACCTTTACATATGGTGCTTAGAAGAAAGAAAATAAAGAAAAAGAAGTAAAGAAGTAGTCCAGATTTTTTGCATAAAAGATGCACTTTCTATCACTCTATACTCGTGGATATGTAACTTACATGAACAAATCACCACAAGCAATATTAACAAGTATTCCCATGCAAATCATCCATGCATTTTCTTTACTCTTCTCCCTAGTACATTTTCTTTTGACTTCTTTTCGTATGTCTCTTTTGCCATGAAACAAATCAGATTTTGACCTGAAATATCAGGTATTTCTATATATAGTATCCCTTTACTGTACAGTATGCAAAATAGGCCTATTAAGTAAATGAATGACTTGCAGTGACTTTGGTGAGATTTGGATCAATGCTCCAAATTGTTAATAATTTAAAATTATCTACAAGGTGAAAAATCAGTGAAGAAAGGACTCTGACACAATTTCTATTTTGGCAGAAGAGCTTGCTAAAAATATAATTATATTGTCCTTTTCACATAGTCTTATAGGACATCTGATTATAAAATAAGAAGTATCAAATACTGGTCTACTTTTTGACTAGGTACCTATTCCACCTCTCTTGATTCCCTCTTAATTCCTAATATTCCTGTATCAAATCTTCAGTATATACCTGTCTTTCTACCCCATAATAAATGATGCATCTGCTGCTACTAAAATGCTTTTGTGTCTTCTGATAGCCTGATTTTTCTCCTCCTGAAGTGGGGTTGATTCTTGGAATATCATTTCAATATGTTATACATTTCAGTGTACAACATTGCAATTCACTGAGATGTGAATTTGCTAAGTTTACCAAGCTAAACAGAAAAGATGGAGGTTCTTTTAGTAGAATCCTATTGTTGCTGAGATTTTTCTTACTTACCTGGCAGTGTCTTTGAACCTGGTTTTACAACAAGGCCACGAGCTCGGATTATTTCTACTTCCAGTTGTCCTTTCTTGTCCATCATTCCCACCTGAATATCCCCTAGATAACAAAAAGAAATCCTGGCGTTGTAATTCAGAAATACTTAAAGATATGAAATGTCATGAGAATTTCTAGGATAAAAATGTGATGACCAGTATAATCTGCATTCCATTATTAAGTATGATCTGGATTTTAACACTACTAGGTAGTTTAATATTTACCCTCTTCATTGCCGTTTATGTTAGTAAACAACTTAAGAAACCTGCTTGTCTCCCATTTCCCATGCCCCTATCACTTCAAAGTAATTTCTCTTTCTTAAGAATTTCATATTAAAAAAAGGCAGCAAGGGAATTAGTACGAAGAAGCTCTGTAAAACTGCTTGAAATCTCATCATTCTGCCTCTAGTCTAAGACAGTATGAAAAGTTGTGAATAAAAAAAAATCCATGAGCACAATATTAACAAATACTTTGCACCTAAATTACCATTTTTATGCAATATTATTCGTGAGTCAGAGAAAAGATCGGTCTCATTTTAAAGATGGAAAACTGAAGAAGAAAAGACTGAATTTTTCAAAGCACCTTTCTTCTTCTGTTTATCTTAATAATCCACAATTATGTTCAGCTTTGGCTGAGACTATAGCTTTGGTCTTAAATGAGTTGTTCAAAACCATATGGGAAATCCACATTTAAAGAGAATCTAGATAAATTCTATGTTCTAATTACCAGACCCAATAGAATATATCGTATATGTAGGACATAAACACTTACCCATTGATGGTGTTGCCAAAGTCTGTCGTCCTACAAGCTGGGCAGGACCAAGTCCATCCAGAAAATCACTGAACTGGCTGTCTGTAGCCAACCTCACACCAGGGAAAATCAAACTAAAAAGAATATTGAAAAAAACCCACAAAAATAAATACACTCAAATTTGCCCCTTTTTTTTTTTTTTTTTTTTTTTTGCTTCCAAGATGTTTTGCATTCAGTGTTTGTGTTTTTGGCATCACTGCTCATGAGGAACTTACACCAACAAGGTTGCAAAACAGTTACTAAAATTTTCAAAATTTCACAGTGTTCAACAAGTGGCACTTCAGCCACCAGCATACAAACAAACAGGTAAAGGATGCACTAATCCTCAATAATTTCCACATTGCTATTTTTCCATCATGCTCTCTTTTTCCAATATATTAAATACCACTGTTAATCATTGTAGCATTCATATGAGACCAGTTCAGTAAGATACAGTAACTTAACAGCAATTTAGTTACATGAAGGTAAAATGGCTCACTTTTCTCAGTCAATGTGAACACAATGGCTGAATATCAAATGTATCCAGTAAAATGATGACATTAGATTGAGTACTGGTTGCTATTTTTAAAATCATCTTTTAAAATCAGCATTCATTGTAAACATTTTGTTAAAAAAGTCTTTGCGAATGACATCTATTCACTGAGAGCCGTTGTGGCAAATGATCAAAGTAAGTTAAAATTCAAATTCTTGCCATAAATTATCAGTGATCCATTACAAAGCAATGACAACTAATGAGATTTGTAATGACCAGCCATAAAGAAATGTCTGTCTCAAGTGGATCTAGTGCATCAGCCTGGACACATAAGATATATAGTGCAGCACAGATGCATTGTCCAGGGCTGTGAATAGCCCTAATAAATCGATCCACAGTAAAACTATTCTGGGCAATGTCTTGACTATACCACTCACAAGTCTTTAATTTAGGCTTTTATGAAAAGCATGGTACATGACAGACTAATACTTCTGCCCAGATAATTTCTTCAGGATTAATTAGAAGATTTTTTACAACTATTGAGCCCAGTGAATGACACCAGGAAATGCTCTAGAAATGCTTTACTCTACAAAGCACTGACATATGCAAGGAATTTTCAGAGAAGAACTTGTGCTTTTCTGTGTTTTATCTGCTTTCCTGCTTTCCCTCCTGACACACCTCATGCTGATGCTCTGACCCACCAGCTGCCATTCTCATGGCACAGCAGAAATGATCCTCATCCTTTCTGCACCAACAGTGGGAGACTCTTCTGGTCACAGGGGAAGATTTAGGCTGGGTTCAGCAATGACACTAGCTTGTGAAGGGAATTCTGACTGAACAGGACCTGCAATGCTCACTGCGCATCTCCCTAACTACCAGTTTCATGGAGAGATGTCAGGAAACCACAGTTGTAACTGCTGCTTACTTTCCCTCAGAGCTGTAGCTGTTCATGCTCCCATCTGTCGATTCCCGGCTAGCCTGACGGGTCATCCAGTTCCTCATCTCCACAGCCAGCCCTGTCTCAGTGCTCCTCTGGACGGTGCTCCGCAGCTTCTTGCCCCCTGCTTCTGCAGAGACAAAAGAGAAGCCTCTATCACACTGTGCTGTCGCAGCTGGGCAACCCTGCTGGCAGCACACCACTGCTCCACGAGGCAGAAACACTCAAAGCCAGAAATTAATGACCTGTATCAAAAATTCCATTTAAAAATTAACAATTTTTAAACAACAGGCAAGCAGCATTGTAAATCTCATTTACAGGACCTTAGCTCTGTTACCGCCTGCTTTCCAAGGTCAGACAGCATATGCACAATGCAACTCTGCCCACGGAGCTAAGCAGTTTTAAACAAGCCACAGTCTAGTGTGTTTAAAATATGTTTTCTCTGGATGAATAAATCCCTCTTAGGAATTCCATTAAAACATTACCATGATGTCAAGACCTGCAGATGAATGTTCTAATTCAGATGAATTATTTGACGGAAAAACATTTGGTCATTATCTGCTAAATCAAGTTGCAGATATCCATTAGTGAGGACAGTAAACGACAAATCAAAAACCCTTCCCATACTTTCTTCTCTATTCACACTCTTATTTCACGAGCTGCCTTGAATTTATATCTAAAATATACAGTACTGACTTTTATGCACAATATGAAACTTTATTACCACCTCCAAGAGTAACAATTTTTCTATCCGCTTGCAGAGTTTAATTTTAGTTGTAAAAACAGCGACATGACAGACATACAGGCATCAGACAAGGGAAAAATACTCAAGCAATGTAGTAGCATTTTAGTGCAGAAATTTTGACGAAGACCTCAGCTGGAAGACATACTTATAGAAAGCAAAGCAAAGAAATAGTAGGAATTAAGCTTCAGTTTTTCTTTCATGAATAAGACAGTCACTCCATGTCACTTCTGATTTTATGCTGTTCCCTGCAATTGAGCAAGGTATTCTGTATAACAATTTCTTTTATCTGTTCAATAGCCCCCTGAGTTCAGCCCAGTGATGTATGATATACTGATAATACTATAAAAGAGCGAGAACCCTAAATGCTTGCTACACCAAATAATAACAGAATTCTTAAACATTGATACAATGAGGGTAGGATATCTAGGATCTCAACTTCTTCTGCAACTGTTTGTAGCATCTGCTACCCTTTATACCTTCTCTGGGTCATCATGTATCAGAGGTCAGAAGAACTGGATCTGCATGGTCAGTAAAGCTCCTGGGATTTGAAAAAGGACATGAGCAAGAGAGGATACTGTCCTGGGATAAGGAGTCTTACACCCCAAGGAGAATGTGTGAGCACATGGACTGGCTTAGGGTAAGAAGACCTGCACCCTCGGACAGGGAGTGGGACACCAATTTCAATGTTCACATTCAGCATCACTGTCCTACAGCATGTGTTGAAATCTCCCAGGCCTCTCAGTCAGGAGGAATATTAGGTCAGACAAAGAACATGAGAAATTTAGTGACATGGGAAATCGACACTGAAAACACCTGGAAAACTATTGGCTCCTTGTCAAGAAAGATTAATAACTCTGCAATATTTAGCAGCAGTAAGACATTTCTGTAGCAGTATCATGAGTGTTTCAAATAATTCTGCTTATTACAAGCCTTCTACATATTCCTCAGGACTATAACTTTTAATCAGTATATGAAAATAACAGAAGTAATAATTTTCCTCTACAATTTCAGTTACCCAGAAGAATTCAGTACCAAAAGGAATAAAAACCAATTTACTACATCAAAACTACTTCTGAAAATGCCCATCGATACCTGGTTCAATAAATACATATAAAAATAGCGACAAGGCTAACACGACATATGAAAAATGAAGGGTAGAAATCAGCAATTTCATTTCTATTGAGTTGCACAGTTCCAAGTGCCTGCTGATTTTATTATCTATATTCAACTAATGAAAGCTGGCAGCTGACTTCCAACACTGGTCCAGAGTTGTTCGAAAATACAATCACTCATTTCAAAGAAATATTCCCACAAAACTGCCAGGAAAATATTGTGCCATCATTTTGTAGAAAAGGTACACTGCATCATAGTTGCTTGTGGAAGCACCACAGCTCCTGAAGACACATACTCTTTTCATTCAGGTATTGTTATAGGATAGTACTCTTCCATTGTAAGAGCCCTTTTGGTTAGTAAGTAAGTGTTCATTCTCATTTAGCCTTGCTGAATGATGTTCATTCTGGAATCACTGCTGCAAACATGAATTCTCTCATGCAAATTTAAGAGAACATCTCCATCTTGCACGATTCTTCAATGCCTTCGTATCATATCTTTCAGAGATTTTGGAGTTTGGGAGAAATATGTGTTTGATTATGTGATATCTGAAGGAGTAAATTGTAACTTTTATTAATTTGTAAGGCAGGTTTTTTCTGAATTAGAATTATAAGTCTTGATTTCTCAATAAATTGATGTGCAACGGATGTGTTGATTTTTTATTCTATGAATGGTCTGCTAGACTGAAAGCACAAAGGCAGAACAGGGGCAACTGCCATTCAGGTCTTCATAGAGGTGCATGCGTAGCTGTTGATAGCATCCATCTGAATCTTATTTTTAAGGAGTTTTACTTTCCCACATTCATTTAAACTGAAACAACTGCTCTGTTTCACATGCTGACAGGCACACAGCTGAGAAGATACAACTTTGGTACAGCATGAAAGTTAGGCATATGTAGTATATCCAACTTTTGTATAAGTGCGGGTGGTTAACAGTAATTATTTTGACCTTAATGCTGAATTTCAGAAGGGCTGAAAGCAGCCTATGTGAATAACTATTTCCCAGTTTTCAACAGAAACAGGCAGAGCTCTGATAGTCTCCAAAGAGAAAGATCTGACCTTTCCTCAATAAGGCTCCTAATCATGATGTTGATGCTTCTTGAAATAAGAATTGAAGATTTTAACTGCAAAATGGCAACTTGGAATAGAAGTACAGAAAAAGATGCAGATCATAGGCATGACTCCTAGGCCACTGCTTTAGAGATGAATGTTCTTTCAGATGAAGCTTGGCTAAACTAATGCATACTAATACACATGAGAAATACCTGCAATTGATTGCCCACCCATACTATCAATACATTTGTCCCTGGAAGAATGTTAAATCAAAAATAATCCTACAATTATGCTAACAATTTAAAAGCACAGACAGCATTTGCATAATCCATAATTTGTGTTTCATAAATTCAGCATTAAAATACTTAAAAAGTTGCAAGTAGCAATGAAAATGCAAGGCAGTAACTCAACTCAAAGAAATAGCCTTTGGTGCCATACTTTCAAGCAGTAGCTGGTAGAATATCTGGTTGAAGATCTTATCACTCTTGTAAATTCAAAGTGGTTTTCCTCATTCTTGCCTGAAAATTGAAAACTCCTCTCTTGTGTTAATGCAAATACTCATGTGGCAGCATTCTGTACTGGACCCAGACCAAAAGGAACGAAATGACAATATCATTGTTGTTCTTTTTTTTAATGACAGATAATTTCTGAAAAACATTTGTAAAAACAACCCCATTGAAGGGATGCTAATCTCTAACTAGGTGAATAACTTGGGAATGCATCTGACACTAACACATAAATAAACATGTAGCTGTAGAAGTGGGGTCTGGTTTTATTAAACCTAAAGTATATATATATATATATACACTCATGTCATGTGTGTTGTTTTAATCCTACTAAATGAAAGGATATGGAAACAAGAGAGTTTAAAAGTATACTTTGTTGTTAAGTATTTTGCTGACCACCTACACTGAAAATCATTTTACTCACAATTTACTAAACTCCAATAAAGAACATTGAAAATGCTCTCCCAATTAGTATAAGCTAATTGCCCTTGCAAGAAGAAATTTCTCGCAAGTCCTCATCACAAAATATGGAATATATTATCTGAAAAACACTAGTTCAGATTCTTGCAGCCATATTGTAATGAGTGGAATAAATTACCAGAAATAATTGCTTTGATATTTATGAAAGCACATTCATTCTTACAGTTAATCATGCTGGTAATTTAACTAATATGGTTACTGCAAATAGACTCCGCAGGCCACATTTTCTAAATTACACACAGAATTATTTGTTCCCACAACTTGAAGTGCAAATCACTTGCAAATTAGGGATGCAAAATTACCGATATGATCTTCAATAGCAGATAAGGACAAGTCAAAAACTGCAGTGAATGCATCAAATTACCTTCCATCATCTGGGATCTAGCCAGATGAAATCTGCCTCTGGTGGGGAGAGCTCCCAGCTTGCTCTCAGCAAGAACTTCCAACAACTGCTCCCCAGAGGCACAGAGTCCCAAGAGAGGACATGGCTGGCACAGGCAGAGGCAGGCTGGCTACAACCATCCCCACTATGGTATGTGATCATGGACTTAGTACTGAGTACAGAGCAGCTGTGGCTTTGGAAACACACTCAAGTGCTTGAGGTGGCTCATCTCTGCTCTCCCCACCTCACCAAAAAGACTGTATACAAACTGCTTCAGCATTTACATTTGAACTCAGGAATTCGATCCACAAAGAGAATAAGCAGCTTTTAAGTGATTTTTCAAGAGTAAGCTCTTTACATATCTTGCTATCTGCTCTGGGCATGTTAACAGACTAGATAAAATCATCAGAGACAGTCTAAGAACATTTGAACTCGCTGAAGAAAAGAGGGACAGACTAGGTCTCAAATTCCCTTGCAGCTGCACAGTTCTGTGTCTGGAAGAGCACAGGTTTTGGTTGCATTGAACAAGGCATTTAGCTCTTGATGAAGCACTGGGAACCACAATCAAGTTGTTTCTTTCTTTGTGTCATCCACAGACCCAAAGCAGAAGACATGGATTAGGACCTAATAATTTACACAGGATTTGGGAAACCCAGATTCCATTGTCACTTCAGTTTGAGCAAATCTCACTGATTCTGAGGTCAGTGCTAACAATCAGCTTGTGAAGTGTTGTGTTACAGTCCTTCCAATGAAGGTTTTCACACTGCATGCTGTCAGCATTTGTGAAGCCTAAAGAGATGTGCAGGGCCCCAGAAAAACTGTAACCAGGAGCTTTCCCTTACCTACAGGGAAGAA